TTTTTGGTTTTTCGAGACAGGGTTTCTCTGTGGCTTTGGAGGCTGTCCTGGAACTAGCTCTTGTAGACCAGGCTGGTCTCAAACTCACAGAGATCCACCTGCCTCTGCCTCCCAAGTGCTGGGATTAAAGGCGTGCATCACCAATGCCTGGCTTGACCTGTCCATTCTTATATCGGAGCAGTCTCCCTGGGACTTTTAACAAAAGGCAGACTAACCTCGAATCTGGAGCTCACTGGCTCATAGTTTTCCTCTGGAGAATTTTAGAGGGTTGGCCAGACTGTGCACCTACATTGCTTAGATTGGTGGGTGGTGTCTCTTCCATGTGTTGCTACCAATTTACCTGGCATGTGTGGGATGCAGAAAGGATGTGTGCCACCCTTACTTGGAAGGACAAAATGGCACAACCACCGGCATGGCCCATACTTGGGACGTTGATTCCAGCTTTTCTCCCACAATCTGATATGTCTCTGGGCTGGTACTCCCAATGTATGGTGCACCCCTAGCCAAGCTCACTCATGCCCATCCAGGATTGGTCCTTGGGCCTGGAATGGGCCAGTCTGTAAACAACTGGTATCAGGTAGGTCTTGGGAGGGGAGGAGGGATATGATGTTAGTGTTCAGTGGCTTTGAGAGATGCCAGCTCAGGGATTGTTGCTGCCTTACCTCTCCACGTGGTCCACATTGCCTGCCACGCCAAGTCCTCCAAGTGTGTAAATCTTCCCATCATAGACGAGACTATTGTGGCGACACCGAGGGACAGTCATTCTGGAGACCAGGTTCCAGTTATCCAACAGGGACATGTAGCACCAAACATCAGCCAGCGTCACCCCTGATTCCATACCACCTGTGGACAATATGGGGGTACAGAGAGCAAGTGGGGGCTGAGGACAGGCTTGAGGACAGGATACCCAGCTCCACAGGCAGAAGCAGACTTCATCCACAGACCAGATAGATACTCTGGAGCCTTAGCCTTTGTCAGCCCCATGTATGGGCGGAGGTCCCTTTGGGAAACCCATCCCAGTTCCTGCCCAGCCCTTGGGAGCCTCACCTGAGAGGTAGATGTTGTCCCCGGCACTCACTACACTGAAGAACTCTCGGTCATAGAAAGGCAGTGAGGCCAAGGGGTACCACTTGTTGTTCTGTGGATTCCAGCAGGTGACAGCCACCAGTGAGCGCTGGGTCATCCCCACCATCTGACGGCCCCCAACCAAAACGATGACCTCGGCCACACCTGCAGGGACATGGATGGGCATCCTTGGAACACACCCTTACTTCATCAGCATCCTGCCTGGGGGACCACCTGGAGCCAGCTGATTCCATGGCATCTGCAATTTGGGGATTTGGGCATGTCCCTTGATACCTGCAGAGAGGCGGGGCCGGGTTCGGGGTGTCTGCATCTCCTGCCGGGCATGGGGCAGCATGTGGTAGCGTTTAGCCTCATTGACCAGGTCCCGGCATGCTTCTGATGACTTGATCAGCTCTTCATTGTCCACCACATTGAGCAGATAGCTGGGGTGGATGAATGGGAGGCGGACGGCAGCTAGGAGCTCTGCTGCATACTGTGGGATAGAAGAGGCCGATTCTGCTTAGAGGAAGCCACCTCTTATGGGTTGAATGGAGAAGAACTCCCCATCTGGGTGTGTCTTAGAAGTGCACACTGCCCAGCCTGGCATGCTAGACAATGGAGGGGGGGTTATGGAGGGCTAACTGGAGATGTGGTGGCTGCAGCTGGCCCCAGAGTAGCCTATCTCTCTATCCCTCCAGCCTCTCGTCTCCACACTCCATACTCCATCTACATCGTAGATCCTGACTGCATGTCACACTTGGCTGAAACCACGAGTGCAGAAGTTTTGTGTCTTGAAGAGGTGTGAGTGTGACAGGAACCAGGTGGGAGGACCCAGAAGGTCTTAAATGAGTTGACGACTGTCAGGTGACTGTGACACCTGTGTGTCCTTAGTACTGAAGCTCCTTAGCAGTGTCACCTTGTCTCATCTCAGCTTCTGGACCCTCTTATCCTTCATGCAAGGCTTTTCCTGAATTGATGTGAACTTCCCCTGCGACAGGCAAACTGCTCACCACTCCACCCACTTTTGTTTCGTCCGGAGAATGACTGGCAGGAGTAATTGGGAGCCAATCTATACCATATGTTAAGCTTGTTACTGCCGCTGTGGAGGCTGATGAGACCCTGCTTCTGATAGGAGTCTAGCTAGGGCTGTGGAAGTGAGCAGTGTCACAGGGGAGATATGTTTGAGGTTGAAGAGTGGTGGGGGTGGGGGACATCCAGAGGCACGGGAGAGTGAGAAGCGCTGTGGCACTCAAAGAATTACATGGGGTTTATTCTTGTGTGCAAAGGGTCTTTTTGGAGGGGTGTAGCACTCAGAAGATGGGAAGCAGTGAGACCAGGGTCTCTGGGTCCACTGGCTGAGCTCATACCACACTCTGGGCTGTGGATGTAGACTCGAGGGTTGCAGAGAACTATGGCAGTTACTGCCATTATCTATACAACTCTAGTTCCTTTCTCGGTTAAAAAAAAAAATACTTGCTTCCTGCCAACCTGATCAAACGAGGAACATACTTCTCATGGCCCCTAAGGACTCAGTGGTGGGGTTGAGGTGGGCCAGGGAGCCATCTCTGTATCCCATATCTTGCTCATCCTTATCTCCAATCTTTCCTTTCCCTGCACCGCTCCCGCCCTTTCCACCCTCCCCTCCCCTTCTCTCCCTTCCCCTGCCCTCCACCTTAAGTCAGAGTTTCTTGTAGCTCAGGCAGAAGTAGTCAAGTCTGGCCTTGAATCCCTAATCCTCCTGCCTTTACCTCTAAGTGCTGTAATTACAGGCATGTGTAACCATACTTGGCTGTGTCCTTTTCTGCCCAATGAAATGTGACAGCCTTTCGGACCCATCACTGAGTGGCTTCAACGTGTTCTGGGGTCTGGCTTTCCTGACTCTGTCATACTACCTGGTTAGGCTTTTACATCCACCAATGTCCCCATCTGCTGTTTTATATTCTGGCCCCTCCCAGGGCTTCCTGCAGCCACCATGACTTGCAGGCTCCTTGCTACAATAACGAATGGCAATTCCCTTCTGCACAGGGCCTGCAGTTGGGGCTTCCTGGGTATGAATGGACCTATTAAACTCCCAGAGACTCGGGTAACTATCTGGGAATACTTTTTCTTTTCTCCTGTGAACGAACACTTGGTTTTTCTGTCTCCTCTGGTAACCTCACGTCTTCTCCTGTCACACACACACACACACACACACACACACACACAGACACACACACACAGACACACACACACAGACACACACACACAGACACACACACACAGACACACACACACAGACACACACACACAGACACACACACACAGACACACACACACAGACACACACACACAGACACACACACACAGACACACACACACAGACACACACACACAGACACACACACACAGACACACACACACAGACACACACACACAGACACACACACACAGACACACACACACAGACACACACACACAGACACACACACACAGACACACACACACAGACACACACACACAGACACACACACACAGACACACACACACAGACACACACACACAGACACACACACACAGACACACACACACAGACACACACACACAGACACACACACACAGACACACACACACAGACACACACACACAGACACACACACACAGACACACACACACAGACACACACACACAGACACACACACACAGACACACACACACAGACACACACACACAGACACACACACACAGACACACACACACACACACACACACACACACACACACAGTATTGTCCCACTTCCAGAATGGTTTCTGTGTGCTCTCCACCCACTTGATAGCCAGAGTATGTGCTTTAACATTCTGGGATTTCATACACCCTGTTCAGGCACTTACTTTCCTGTGAAGAGCCCAGGTACCTCCTACCCAGACCCTATGTTGCCTTGGAAAAACTGGAGACTTGGGCTAGGAGGAGTGGAAGTCCTTAAGAGCCCTCTGGAGACTGATTATATTTTCACCTCCTCTTTCCCCTATGTGTGGAGGCGGTATGTATGTGTACTAGACTCTTGTTATTTCTGACTCCTATATAATCATTGCTGTTGAGACATGCAGCCCTGCCCCCTTCACCTTCCTCCATCTTTGCAGCAGAACCCACCCCTGCAGGGACTGGGTGGAGCAGGCCCTACCTGTGCACGTGCCGCTGGGTCCTTCTTGATCCACTTGATGACAGTTTCATAGACTAGCTCCTCGGCCTTGGTGTTGAGACTGTCATTGGAGACGTAGGCGATAAAGTCATCCTTAGAGATGCTAAGGATCTCCTCTTGGGCTGCCACCTCAGGGAAGATCTGCAGTGCAAAGGCCTTGGCCATGTGGTAGAGCTCACTGCACTGCATTGCCTCAGCCATGGCCAGCACACCCAGGCAGTTGCTGGCGGTCAGCTGCTTCTCTGGGGGGAAGAATAAATGATCACTGACCCAGTGGTCCTGGAAGGATCACCTCTTGCTCCCATTATCATCCCTGCATCTTCTTCGGCACCTGCTCCGTTTCCTTGCACCCTGCCTCTAGCACCTATAGTCATAGTCAGCCTACCTCCTGTGACCCTGAGCCCCAGATCTGTTTCTCAGGTTTTCTTCTGCCCTGACTCATGTGAAAACCCCAGGGCCTAGTTCTACCCCCTGCAGACCTTAGCAGAAAAACCACAGCTGTGAGGGAATGGTGTGAGATTCTTCCCTGACCATGAAGGGAGGGCTGGAGCATCAGGGTTTGGTCCTGGGCTGTGGGAGGCAGCCACTTTAAAACTTACAGTGTCTTCCATCATGGCAGGCATGTCGATGTCACAGACACCTTTAAATCTCATGAATAGCAGCCCTTACATATCAATCCACTGTCTCCCATGGTCCTTAGATTCCCCTAGTCTACCTGGAGTCTGGTGGCTGGCTCTTCTGAAATCTGGCTAATGGCTCTTTCGGGCTAGAACTGGGTATGAGTCTCATTTCTGCCACCATGGCTCCTGACCCTTCCAGATCGATTAGCTTCCTCAGTAGTCCTCATCCGATCTGCTCCCAACCTCTAGCTGTTCTTTCTGCATACCACACCCCAGGCTCTAGGGTTTTGTGTGACGCTGTCCTCATCGCCTTACTCCACAACTCCTAGCCTAGCTGAGCAGCACCAAGCTGTAAAGTGAGCATGCTCTGGGCAGGAAGTGAGAATGAGCCCATCACCAATGTCCATGTCTCGCAAAAACAGCTCTGGGCTTCCAAGGGTTAGATAGGATGCACTGGCTTGTCCATGCTTCTCTGTGGCTTGGGAACCAGTATGTTAAAGGGGAATAGATTACAAGGCTGATTGATTCAGGGCTTAGAGGCCAGGGAAGAGTTGTCAGGTTCCCTGCCTGCATAGGCTGTTCACACATTGTAGTGGCCACTGGTTTTGGCAAAGCCACAGTGACCCCTTCAGTGCATTCCATTCCATCAAGCCACCCATGTGCTCAGGTGAAATCTAGATATCCTGGTATGATCTGGGACACACAACCCTCCTTGCTCAATTCTTGCTGGCTGGGAATTTTTCATGGATCTGCACCATTTTCTCCAGGTGATGTAAAGGCCCACTGGTCAGCTCACCGAGAAAGGACACGCAGACTTTGCAGAAGGTGTGAAATTGGAACTTGCTGGCTGCCTCAAGCAGAGTCTTGGCATTGGCTGAGTCGATGACCAGCGAACCAGTGTAGACGAATTCCAGCAGTAACTCTAGGACATCAGCCTGCAGGTTCGAAAGCACCAGCTCCAACTTCTCCCGGCTGCCCTGGCTGCCGTCCTGCACTGACCTAAGGCACAGAGACCAGGGTGTCCTCACCTGCCACCCCTGCGGCCACTGCCGCTTCCTCACAGGGCCAGAGCTCCCTGTACACCTCAGTCATGCCCTTCGTCTTAGGACTCAAAGGACACAGCAATGACACACCTGAACCTAATGACCTGACACAGGATCTGAAAGAGAAGGGTCTGACCAGAGGCGCCCCAGAGAACAGAAAACCCTGCTTATCACTACTCAGCATGTCCATGCAAAAAAGATGCAAATCAAAAAGCATGAGCCGTGGATGGGGACAAAGACCAGGACTAGCCGTAAAGGGAAACAATATGGTTCAGTTACCTGCTGGACCTGGTGCCTACACCAAATGGTACCAGCATGCCCTGACAAGGAGAACCTACTGCCTCACATGGAAGAATCTCCTTCAGGTTGAAGCTCAAAGGCTCCTGATTGGCTGCCATCCTAGTCAATTAGTAGGCATTCTTTTGAACATGTCTTGAAGACCCAGGGCCTTGGAAGGCTGCCCAGGTTCCCTGCAACCCCATCCTCTTCAAAAAACATATTGTTTCCTTTTAGGCATGGAAGGGAAGCCCTTCATGACATTGCTTTGAAACTGAAGACAAGACGAGATAGACGGACAGAATGGTTAGAGCTGGGAAGGGGAGAGGGAAACAACCAAGGACTTCCGCCACAGACAGCCAGCAGCCATGACCTGGGGCCTGGCCCGGGGCGGGGGTGCCCTCCTGCCACATGGAACACGGGGTCAGAGGTCAGAGTGGCCTGCGTGTAGAGTGTGCATCGGGCTTGTGAACTGGGGTAGGGAGCAGGGGAGGGACACAAATATATCAGTATGTTTATATCTGGTGTCTACAGAAATACAAAACCATTGCAGCCGCTCCCTATAGCTGGACCTGGAAGGAAACAGATAAGATGAAGCGAGAACAAACCAATATAGAAGTGAGGCCGGGAGAAAAAAAAACACCCAGAGCGTTAAGTCAGGAGGCAGGTTTCTCAGAGGCCATTGCCTTGGCCACTCCAGTTTGGCTGCTCTTATCAGGCCAGCTTCCCTCACTGAGCCTGGCCTGACCGGGGTTGTGGCAGGGCAGTGAGCTCTGTTGCCTCCCCACTGACTTCTGCAAAAGCCAGATGCCAAGACTCTTGAGACTGGTCCCTTGGGCACACCAATTGGTAGAGGTGTACCAATGCCTGGTAAGATAGGTTGCCCAAAGAGGCCTGGGACAGCTGCTGGGGGAATGGATAGAGCACTCACTAGCAGGGAGCAAAGGGACCTGGGTACCCTGCTTGCCACTGACAGACAAATATCCTGAGCCTCTCAGGCCCTTGGCTTTCTATTCTGCAAAACAAGATGGAAGTGGATGAGGCCTAAAGTTCTGTTGAGGCTTAGCATGGCTAGGGCTAGAAAAACACCTCCCCAGGAGATCTTTCTACACAACTGTGCTTGCATTTTACCACCAGAGTTCAAATGTTTAAGGCCTTCAAAGCCAAGAAACAACCCACAGTATGCAGGTTACTTTGGGATGCTGAGACTGAGCCAGAGTTTAGGGTTCTTTCACCACAGACGGTTCATGTGACCTGAGGTCCTAAGGCCTTGCACTTCTATGGCCTGAGCAAGCCTAGGAGGAGAGAAGGCAAAGTACTGGCCACACAGAGGTTCTGGGCTGAGATCTTTTAAGCCTACACATGCTCACTCAATGCTTAGGTGACTTCACACACCTGTGTCTTGCTGTTGAGATAGATTCCCAGGCTTGGATGCCTTTGTTAGGTATAAAAATAGCTTTCAAGTGTCCCTTGGAGACACCATAAATCCTAATTATCCCAGCCTTCAGAGGCTATCTGGTCAACCTCATGCTCCAAGTCTTTGCTGCCTCTGTGTTCATCCTAATGGCCTGGCCTTATCTCCATACTTCCTCAGGTTCTGTACAAGTCATGCTGGGTCACAGTATGGCAGGGCTGATGGGGTCAACATGGGCTGCTCACCTTTTCCCAAGATCCCTTTCACTGCTGCCACCAACAATTGCCATCTCAGTGTGTCCCCGAGTCCTGAGACAAAGGAGCTCAACCCAGTGAAGAGCTGAGGTAGGTCTTCATAGTATAGATGCAGACACACACAACCCTGGCTGACCTAGTGCTGGAATGATAGCTATAAAGGGCTAGTACTGCCATACTGCTAGCAACTACCTGCTGCTTCTCAAGGCTGAGCCTGGAAGAGTATTTTGGAGATAGAGCTTCTTGCACTATGAAGTGCACCAGGAAGGAGAGGGTAAGTACAGGGGCTGAAGAGCATTGGTAATGGAGTTCAATCGAGAGGACCTTGGCCATAGAAAGCATGGCTGTGGCTGTCTTCTATTGGACAAATGATCTGCATGGCAGTGCAAGAGGTTCCTAGGACTAGAAAAGCTAGCCCCTTCCACTTGGTCACACAGGTCTTTATTAGTAGCCTAGTTTAAAGTTCTAGAAGAGGCATGGGAGTTTGGATATCCCCTTGGCACACAGATAGCATTCACTGTGTGGCTCATGTGTAGCTCAGAGATCTGCAATGGCCACCAAAGGCTGGCAATGATTGCTTCTAGTCATTAGATGACTGTAGGCTCCTACTTAGCACTCCTTAGGTCTCTTTACTCTGAGCAGAGGTCCCCTAGCGGACACCTCACCTGATGGGCAACTATGATCATGGCTATAAGGCTACATTCGCCACAGGTATGAAGAATGTTCTGTCTTAGGCTGGTTTTAGAGTGAGTGGCTGGCCTCTGAGGGTCATGACACAATGGCACGAGGATGTACAGAACCACAGAAATAGACAATAGTAACACTGTGTGATTCTCAATCTTGGGGGGATGGCAGAAGTGTGGCGCTCCAGAATACACTGTCTGAGGGTTCCAGCAGGAGACTAGAACTACATGAAGTTACTTTCTTCTAAGTGGGGCTACCTGGGAGAGTCCAGGTTCCTTGGTGCAGTGGCTGCTCAGCATGGCTGGGTCTATGGACTTGTCCGAGTTGCCTATCTTTGACTAGTTGGATCTTGGAGAACATGCTTTTAGCAGATAACTCCTCTGGGATAAATTGTCCCTCCCTCATCTGCCTGTGTGGCCAGGTGTTTGCACAATGCACATTGGCATTGGGCACTGTCTGGAAGTGTAGGGCAATGGTGAGTGGCAGATATAGGCTGGTGATGGACACAGCTGGCACTCTGTTCCATCTGTCTGATGTAATTCCTCCCCTGCCCCATGTCATTAGCTTCAGAGCACTGTGTTTGTGCATACCCAAGTCCCACTGGGCCCTGTGGACTTATGCAGGCCTTGGACCACTTTGAGAGTGCCGAAACCCAGGAGGTGTTAATCCCTCTTCTTGCTGCCTTGTATTCAAGGTACACCTGTGTATTCTAGATGAGAAAGGGGACAGGCACCTGGGGAAAGAGGTACAGGGTACATATTTTCACTGGTATGTGAAAAGCTCCATGTCAGTTGGTGAGGTGGGTCATGGACTCAGTATCCACTCTAGCTTCCCACATCACGGCTGAAGAAGGAAGGAAAAGCCCAGAGCTTAGCATCAGGCTTTGTGAAAATAAGGTTAGGAAAAAAATCAATTCATTGTTTTCATCCAATGTGAAAGAGAAGAAAATTCACATATCACACATGGTCCAGTAGGCTATGTGAGGTGGGGCCTTCAGCTACAGGGTTGCCTATCGTGCTCAAGGTCTCTGTCCTCTTTGGTATGGTAAGGGACAGGTTTTCTCAGTTGCTAGGTATTTTCTCCCATGCTGTGACTCAGAGATATGTTTGAAGTGCCAGTGTTGGCAAGAGACGTCACTGCCATCTTTTAAGAAGGATAGTCACGTCCTCTCTGATGCCTGTAGCCTAGCCAGACGACCATTAAGTGGAAGGGACTGGCTTGATTAATGTCTCTCTGGCACCTGTGGATTGTGAGAGATTCTCTGTGCCCAGAGGGTAAATGAAGGGACTTTGCCATGGTCCAGAGAAGAAAAGCCAGGGCAGACCGTGCAGGCAACGGGTGAGATGCTCTAGGCCTGGGAGTCCAAATCCAGAGCCACTGCTGGATTCCCGTCTATTACATGAGCAGAGAAAGGAGGGATGAGTAGCTCACTAATCATCTGAAGGCAGTACCTTGTTTTTTGTCTCTGGTTTTCTCCCAAAGGCAGAGTCTTAGCTCTTTGTCCCTCCTCATTGTCCAAAGGCAGTGTCCCCATCTGCTGTCTTTCAGTTTCCCCTCTGATCACCCAATGGAACTTAAGTTGGCCCATCAAAGGTCAGGTGGAGCAGGCCAGTGGGTTCTGTTGCCCTTGGCTTGCTGCTGGCTCCTGCACTCCTGTCCATGGCCTCCTCGGCCTCCAGGCCTCATCTAGAGGGCCCAGGCCCCTTGCAGGTATTCACACAAGTGCCTGTCTTAAAGCGGAATTCTGTCCTTGGCAGGCTCTCTGGCCAGTGTCCCTAACATCACATGTACACTGCACATGCCCTGCTTGTATATGGTGTCAGCCCTGAAACTTCCCTTTCCTCCCTCAGACTTTGCCTACAGACAGAAAGCACAGTTTGGTTTTCTAGGTTAGAGAATGGGTGGTAAGAAGGCTTCTGTGTCAGACAATATCTCTGTCAGTTAAATGCCTGAGGTTTCAAGACACTCATCTGCAAAATGCAGATTCTAGTCATGCCAACTCCTCAAGCTAACATCTAGAAAACTTGTCACCAGGTGGCAATCTTGTCAAAAAAAAGAAAGTGGTGAAGGATGGCTTAAAGGGGCTAGCTCATCAAGAGAAATGTGAAAAAAGCCTAGGTAAGGTAGGTCAGACAGCTGAGGTGGAAGGGACTTGACTGCTGTGTGGGAGGCCACACTGGGCAGACCCAGCTTTTCTGCTCGGTCTTACATAGACACACTGTGTGGTGTGTATGTGTGGCCAGGCTCCTCACAGTCTGTTTCATGCATCCCTTTTCTGATCCATGTACTGTCTATCGCTGAGGACTTTGGGTAGGCTTTGACCAATGCTGAGGATTTTGGGTTGGACTCTGGCCCACGAGAGACTCTGCCTATTTGCAGAGAGGAATGAGATTTCCTTTATGTCCTTTGCATGGCTCCAGGAAAGGCAGACACACTGAGAATGGGGACGGAGCAGTGGACACAGGACCTAGGTTGGTGGTGGAAAGGAATCCTGAATGAATTTCTGAGGTGCTGCTACAGCAAGGGGCAGGGGTGTCTCCTGCTCTGACAATGCTCAGCCAAGGCAGATTAGTATTGACCCATAAAAGGTCTGAGACACAGATTGTCCTTGCTCTCTCACCTCATAAGACGACAGCCCCTGAAAAGGAACCCTTGGCCCACTCTGTCCCAGTGGCTGCAACCATTGTATGCTAAAGCTTGAGGGCCACTGATGTGAAGGGGACTGGTATAACATGGTGACAGTATCTGACCATGAAGATTTGGGGGCCCTGTGGCTCACAAAGATAACATCTTCCCGTGAGGATCTCGCTTCCCTCCTTTAAAAGCATTTGTTGCAGCCAGCAGCATGAATGGCAGCATGGGCATGGCAGCCAGGACACAGAAAGGAAATTCAAAATGGCTACAAACAGCTTCCGTTTCTCTTTTGATTCCTGATGTTACTTCATGCATGCTGAAGGCCCCAGACCTCAGCCATGACTCGCTCAGATTCATCTGCCTGTCTACCTACCACTAAGGGACTTGGGTGCCCTCTAGGCCCTAAAAACACAGCATGTCCTGTGTTCTCCTTGCCATCTACCCCAGCTCACACCTGACACTGGACTCTATGGTTCTCTTTCCTTCTATGACTCCCAACACCTTCTTCTCTCATGTCTTGGCATTCAAACTTGTAAAGCCTCACCAGGCTGGTCTTGTTCATCTACTACTGACTGTCCCCTTCACCATCATTTGACTAACTTCTGGTTTATAGCTGTTGAAGCCTGAGGCCTAAGAGCGAGGGTGTGACCAGACTAGTCACAGGATGAGTGCCAGAGACAAGTGTAGGGCCCAGGTCTCCTGACTCCCAAGGATGCCCTCATTCTCCCAGCAACTGCTTGGATGGAATGCCCATCCTTTCCCATCAGGGCTACTGAGGTAGTTGTGCACCCTGCCCCTCACCTCACAGCAAGCCCAGGAGGTCAGTGGGAAGGCGGGGCTTGCTAACGTCTGTTTCTGGGGAGGCAACCTGTTCCTGTCCCTGGTTCATATCTGTTTTTGTCCCTACCCTCCTTGTCTGGAAGGGTCTTCCTCCTCCTCCTGTCTGTCCAAGAAGGTCCCACCTATTGGGTCCTCATCCCTGTCATGTGGTGGAGTTTGGCTTTGCTGTGTCTTCAAAGGCACTTAAAGGCTTCCTTTCCCCATGTGGTTCAAGTCCAGGGCTGGACCTCTGATCTACCTTAACTGCATATACTGTCGCCCATTTGGATCAGGGCCCAAGGTCCTGGATTATTTAGCTATGTTCCTGTAGCCAGGTGCTAGCCACTGCTTCCCGGAACTTCCTAAAAAAAGAGCCCCTGGACTGAAGGAGCCACTGGACATTCCTCTTCCCCCAGACTGTACCTCTAACCCCCTTGCCCTCAGACACAGGGAACCTAAGCATGGGGGCAGGAGACGGAGTTGTCCAGGAAATGGGATGTCACAAAGAGCCTGCCCCTCCTGTGTGGCACCTGGCCAATGAGGCCGAGTGGGACCTCACACACCCGGAGGCCTGGCTCTACACCAAAGGACACAAGGGACAGGAAAGGAGATGCCATCCTGAAACAAAACACAGTCGCTCTGGGGTTAGTTGGCAAGTCCAAACACAGCATTGGGAAGCAAGCAGAGGTCCTGTCCTCCCACTCTGAGCTCTGTCCAGGCTCAGCGTCCGCCCCGGAGAGGCTGCAAGGCAAAATGAGCAGCGGCATTAATCTGCTGATGGGTGAGAGAAACGTGAGCGTTACCCTGGGCTGGCCCCTTGGCTGCTCTCCCTCACTAAGGAGCTAGGAGGTGGCCCTGACATCTTTGCAAGGGTATGAGACAGCAAAAATACAATTATTTTTTTTAAATCAACAAAATGGAAAAACAAAGATACTCAGGCACCATTCACAATGATCCAGGTAGAAATGAGAAATAGCCAATGGGGCCAGGGTGGGCTGGGGGAAGGTGAAGGCCGAGAGACCGTGTTTAGGACACACCTGGTCTTCACTTAGTGCCCAGGGTTCAAGCATGAGGCTTGGCCTACACACTGTTCTCCCTGACTCAAAGTTGGGAAAGAGCAGTCCCTGGGGTGCCTGATGTCCCTCAGTGGGGATGGCCTGCTCAATATGCTCTCCTGGTAATAGGGTCACCATCAACAGTGGTGATGATGGATCTGGGGACCCTGAGGGATGGAGCAGTGTGTAATGGTCCCTTCAAATGGAGCCTATAGTACTCTTAGTTTCAGGAAGGGCTTGTGATCTGCTAAGAACATGGGATTTGGGGTGTGTGTGTGGCCTAATGTGGGCTAGCTCCTGGTGGCCAGTGAGGCAGTGAGTGCAAGCAAGGACAGTGGCTGCTCTGAGGCTATGTGTGTGTGTGTGTGTGTGTGTGTGTGTGTGTGTGTGTGTGTGCGCGCGCGCGCGCGCGCGCGCATGTGTGTAAGCGTGTGCATGTGTGTGTGTGGGCACTGGGGAGGGAGAGGAGAGATGGCTACTGGCTCTGTGACAGGGAGTCACACTTCAGGAACCTGCAAGAGAGGGGAGAAAAGCGACACAAAAGCGTCCTACGAAGGAACAGACCCGACCACAGCTGGAAGGAAGGCAAACCTTTGAATCAGGTCCTTGAAATACAAGCTGCAGGAAGCTAGAACATTTTGGTGGACTTCAAACTCTCTGCCTTCAACAACAATTTTCAGGTCTGTAAACGCTTTCGCTCTGCGCTGCTGGTTCAATTCCTTCAACATTTCTGCAGAATAGAGAAGACAGACAGGGCCAGGTTCCCATTAAGAGGTTTTTATTTTTTATTTTTAATTAATTTTTTTTCAAGAAGTAGAGAAATAGAAAATACTTGATATTGTTTCTTGGCAAGGCTGGCTGAACACTGACAGTCAAAAAGAGGTCACAAACAATGCATAAACAAGCAGCCACTGGGAGGGGCTACATAACCAGGGGAGTAACAAATAAAAAAAGCAAAAAAAAAAAAAAAAAACCCCAAAACCAAACCAAACCCAAATATGATTAAGAAAAAATCAAACCCAGATATTGAAAGATCAGGGAGTAGAGTGGGGATAGATTCCCATACTGACAATTGGAAACAGAAAATACATTACCACAAACAGCTAAAAAAAAAAAAAAAATCTATCCTAGAACCATGGAATAAGGTCTCCAAATGCCAATGGTGCTGATGTATCAAGTAAAGCATGGCATTGTGATGTAAGATGGGCTGGACATGGTTCAGAGGAGCAAAAACCCACAAACCCTGCAAAAACAGCATCCCTTCTGTTAGACACTCAAGCCATGGCATGAAACAGGTTTCCTGGGAAGGGAAGCCAGAGAACAGAAGGGCCCATCAAGGGCTTGGCAAGTGCCTCCTTCCATCTCACTCTTTCAGGGACTTCTTGGGTAAGCAAGCAAGCAAGGGGTGGAGGTGGGTTGGGTGGGGTGCTTCTCTGCATCAGCCCCATTTTCTAGGCTAGCCTTCCAGGGTGCCCAGCCTTGCCTGTGCATTTGACAATAGGAAGCCACTTTGCAGCCTGTGGAGGTCTTAGGAGTGGCTTGGGGATGGGACGAGGGTGTTTCCTGCCCCAGTGTATACCTACCTTTGCCTGGAGTCTTGGCCACCTGGGCTGGCACAGACAGAATCCAGGCCTGTGGGCTCCAGACCTAGGGATGTCAACATCTTCTCCCAGACCCACCCCAAGGGCTAGAAGGGAGGAGGAGAGAAGAGCCTGCCGGGCCTTTGGCTAAACATTTCTCACTAGCCCCACCACATCTGGCTGCAGTCAGGACCCCTCATCCTTTGGCTGTAGTGGCTGGACATCAGAGGCCTAGACCTTTGTGTCAGGGTGACTTAGACTGTCATCAGGCAGACAATGACAGGGAAGTCCCATTATTATCACTTCAAGCCCTTCACGACTATGCTGAGTGGAGCTGGCTTTCTAGAATTACCCTCTGGTGTTCCTGACTTCAAGCCTGAACATAGGGTCAGTATCAGTTGAATGCTGAGATTCTCCTAGCCCTTAGTTCTTCTTCTGGGTTTGTCACAGGGTAGTTAGGTGTCCCTGGGTAAGTTACCCCAACCTGTGGCTGGTCCTCTATTTCTCTCTGAGCCTCTATATTTATATATTTCAACGGGGAACTGAAGCTCCTACTTCTATCTGTAGACCCCAGGGGGGTCACATGATCTAGTCCAGTTCGGGGTGAGCTTGACAGTAAGGCAGGCCTTTCTTCACAAGGATACACTGGGCTTGGGCTGTGTCTGCTGGGGACTGAGGTGGTGGAACTGTCCCAAGCCACAGGCCATGCTAAGCCATGGGACCCCTAACCACATAGTAGGCTGACTTGGAATTATGGGAGAATGCTCACAGGTGTGCATGTGGATGACTCTGGCTGGGCCCTCCACCTTCCACAGGACCCAGAGACAAGGTTGGAGGGTGTGGGCTGTGTGGGTGTGTAACTGGAATTTCTTGGTCCTGCCAGGTCCCGCCACCCTCTCTTCAGCCCCAAATAAGCACACAGAGACATATATTAACTTGTAAACTGCTGGTTGATGGCTAGGGCTTCTTACTGGCTAGCTCTCTCTTAGTTATTAACCAATTTCTATTAATCTAAGTATTTCCACTTACTGGAGAAGGGTCCGGACCTGTTACTCCTTCCTCTGATACATGACGTCTCCTTGCAGTCTCTCTCTGCCTACCTTTCCCGGAATTTTCCTAGTCTCCTAGTCCCGCTTATCTTCCTTCCTCTATAGGCCAAACAGTGTTTTATTCATCAACCAGTAAGAGAAGCATATGAACAGAAGGACAACCCCCATCATGGGTGGGTATAGGTGAGTGCAGAGCTGGAAGGCCACAGTTGGCAGCTTGAGCTTCGTTTTGTGGCCCGAGGGTGCTGCAGAGGATTGTGTGCAGGGAAGTAGAGAGAGAGGTTTAGCTTTGTTCTCTAGTGATCTGACAGCCAGCCTGGACGAGAGTGATTTAGGAAACCCAATGGGAGGCAGGAAGACAGCCAATATCCAGAGACCTTGGTTTTGGAGACAGACTTGAGGGTGAACCTGAACTCTGCCTTCTGTGAGATATGCAGCCTTGGAAAGGTAAAATAAAGGATTCCCAGCAACCTTGCTTATTGAAAGTTAATGATGTGGTGTATGGTTAGCACCTACTGTGCCCAGTGTCACTGAAGTAGATTCAAACTGCTGGTGATGGTGGAACCCTTCCATGATCTCACTGAAAGATGAAGAGGCCTAATGGGCACTGAACACCAGAGAAGGCATTTAGGCCTCAGCTGCTATGGGATAGCAGGGGGACAAAGGGACATCTGAGAAGGGCGGGGGGAAGAGTTTGGTTTGGAGTAAACCTGCAGAGAAAGAGATGATAAGGCACAGGTAGTAGCGAGAGGCCTAGGCTGGAGGTGAGCCTATGGTACTCAGGGATGGACCCGTGGGGCCAGGCAGGGCTCATGTAAATTGTGATGCTTGGATTCTTACAGAGCCTGCATCTGAGTGAGCCTGGTGGATTATGTCATCTGAGTGAAGAGAGGGGTGGAGGTAAAGGTGGGGGAATCTTCAGGCGAGGATTCCAAACTCTTAGAGCTTTAAAATATTTTTTAAAAATTTAAGAGTGTGTGTGTCCCCACATGAGAGCAGGTACCTGCAGAGACCAGAAGAGGGCATCAGATTCCCAGTAGCTAGAATTACAGGCAGTTGTGAGCCACCTGATATGGTGCTGCCAACTGAACTCTGGTCCTCTGGAAGAGCAGTATGCATACTCAACCACCCAGTCATCTGTCTAGCTCCTGGGTCCTAGATTTGTCATGGGATAGTTAAGTGGCCCTGGGTGAGTTACCCCTACCTGTGGGCCTCCAATTCCTGTATGACTAAGTAGCTCTGTGGCTCCCTGGTCATCATACTGTGTTGGAAAGTAGATTCAGCCCCATGTACTTGTGGAGTTAGCTAGTGCTGGCACCAGGCCAACATCCCACTCCTGGACCTGCTGTGTTCTGATGTTTCAAAGGTTTTCCCTATAGGTCAAGGTTCTGGCAAAGACTCTAGCCACATCCCTAATTCCAGCAGCACCACCAGGAATCCCAAATTCAGGTCCGGACCTGGCATGTGTCTGGGATTCAGGCGCCATCTCTCTCTACACATGTTTTCTGTGCTCTACGGCTCTACCTCTTCAGAAATCTGATTTAATAGTTGGGGACGATTATTCACTTCCAGAAGAATTTTTCAATTTATGAAAGTGCTCACCAGGGGATTCCTCTTCACAGCAGGCCCAGCGCATTCCAAGTATTGATCAGTTGGTATGTGCTTGCCACTGCCTGCAGCATGCTGGCAGGGAGGGTGGGCATCACAGTCTATACTTGTCAGGAGCACACCCTGAATCCACAGGAGTAAGCCAGGACCTACTGGCCTGGGTGGAAGCTGAGTGTCTTCTTCACACTTGTCTTGGAGCCGAATAACACTCCTGAATTTTTGAGGTGTCTCTTGGAAACACTCCAAAAAGCTGGGCCTGGTATGGGAAGAGCTACATGATTTGGGTGGAACCTGCACCAGAGGCTGGGTTTTCAGAGCTCCGGGCAGCACCTTGTAACTGCAGGATTCAGGGTGGGCCCAAAGGCCCTTGGGCCCTCCCCAGGCAAAGACTCAGTGGTTCCACATTAGTGAGGGGGCTAAATAGTCTGAGTCCATCTGGAGGGCCATAGCTTTGGTTTCCATTCCTGCTGGCTGGCATGTGGGGGGATTTTCTGTTCTTCTTGGTTTTGAGTGGAATGCCTCACCCCTATGCTTACTGAACCAGCTGCCATGCTTACAGAGCTGGCTGCCCTGTGCCTTGCACTCCCCCCTCCCCCCGCCCAGTCAGGGGTTCTTCTCCCACTATGACCACCTGGCATAAAGCACATAAGCAGAGCATACTTCCCAGTTTCCAGCCAGCCTTCCTCCAAGCCACCTCTGTACTGCAGCTCCATATAGTATACAGCCACAGCTCTGGTTAAATGGCCCCGTCAAAGGTGAGCAGAGGGAGTAAAATGTCCTCCATCCCTGGCTTCTCCATTTTCCTTTACTGTCCCCGTGCCCCCAGCAGCATCTGACTTCCAAATGTGTTCCCCTCTGCCCACGTTGTCTTCCCTCATTCTTCTTCTGGCTGACGACCATTGGTTTCCCATGCCAGTCCTGGTCCCAGGCCTCCCTGCCTCTTCTTCCTACAGCTCCTGCCCTCTGCCTCTCCATGCACACTTTCCCAGCATCCCGAGCTGCCTTCTTTGCAGCACACTATGCCTTGTATATAATTTATTTACATGTCTGCCTCCTGCACATGACTGCATTGTGTGTGTGTGTGTGTGTGTGTGTGTGTGTGTGTGTGTGTGTATGTGTGTGTATTTTACCGGCAATACTCAGCTCAGGGCCTGACATGTGTGCAACCCACACAGTAAGTTGCAAAAATTCTCTACTATTAAGAGACAGAGGTCATTTCTCACCCTTTGAATCATGACTAACTTTATGATTTGCTTTGGATCGTAGACTGAAGTAGAAGGACCTTATATGGGTGCTAACCACAGCTGGTTTTTGCAACCTCTGGAGATCCCTACCATCACCTCACATAAACAAACTGGGGATCCCCTGTTGGAGGATGATAGATAGCACAGAGCAGAGATGAAGTCATCCTAGAGTGTCATGTAGACTGGCCAGCCGCTGGCTGCCATAGCAGTCTGACTTAACCCTCAAATTGCCTAGCCAGACCCATACTC